CTAACATCCACGCCAATCCTCCTCTTTTTTTGCTGAGGAAGACTGGCCCTGAGCTAACATCCGTGCCCATCTTCCTCCACTTTATGTGGGACGCCGCCACAGCAGGGCCTGACAAGCGGTGCGTTGGTGCGCCCGGGATCCGAACCCGGGACGCCAGCAGCGGAGCGCGAGCGCTTAACCACTACGCCACGGGGCTGGCCCCTTCTGTTTTGTTTTAATAAATTTGGTTTGGACTACTTTGAACAATGAAGTCTGTAAGGCAATAAACCAAGACAGGAAGGCAAACAGCACCAATTGCGTGCCTCCTGTGTCCCGGGCAGAGCTGCAGGGGCTTTACACACACTATTTCATTTCATCTTAACATCAGGAATTTGAAATTTCTCCTCCACCTTCATACATATGAGAAAAAATTACCTGAGAGTCACTTAACTAAACAGCAAAGGTAGGATGCAAACTCACCTAGAACAGTACTAGTTAGAGCACTCCTGCTCCCATCACCCAGCTGTACATGTTCAGCACCCGTTTCACAGAATCAGAAGGAAACACAGTTCTAAAAGCCCCTGTCCAGTTTCAAACACACGTGGCTTACATCCAAATGCCCAAATGCACTTAAAACAAGGCCCGTCCTCGGCTCGTAAGCAGTCATTAAAACCCATCACTGAAGCTCCTGGGGCACTTGACTTCAACCCAAACCACAGTCTTACAGAAACCATGAGAAAGCACGTTTCAGACCAAACTAAAATGATTTACGAACTGCGCTCCCAGTCCCAGCTTATATTGCTGCCAAATTATTCTGATACATGGAACCCAGTAAGGCCAGATATGGGGAAGAAGACAGCACTCTCATAATCCCCTTTGTGTTATAGTAAGACTGATGCATTATATATATCACGGGTGATTTCTGACCTTCATTCATTTATTGGACAATAACTGGACAGCTACAGTCTGTCAAATGCTACTGCTGGAAATAAGACTGCTCCCGGCCTTAAAGCATTCACAGTTTAATAATTTAACAAACTATATGAGAAAACCTGTACTCCCAGAGTGAGTCCTTCTCTCTGTTGATATAAAAATCAAGATAACCTTTAGAAAGGCCAAAACGAGAATTACACAATCCAAATTCCAAAGCCCAAGCCCTTTATTAATTAGCTAGTCCTTCAAAGGCTCACCGATGCCCCTGGTCTCATTTTATACACATTAACAACAGATTTGCTTTTCTAAGTACATCTCCTAGATGGGCCATTTACTAGCTTAACGCCCTTGAGGCAAGTGACTTCACTTGCCTGAGCCCCAGTTTGCCCAATGGGAAAATGAGGATAAACAGCTATACTTCGAGACTATTGCGAGGATTAGAGATAATTATGCAATACACCAAGCCCGAGTCTGGCACTTAGTACAAGTGCAATAAATATAGCTAACATCATAACCACAGGATTTACAAACCAATAACAAATTGATCAGAAAAATCAAATCAAAAGTGATGGGAAGGGGAAGAGAGACTCAAGATAGCTCTAAAAATAAACAGCCAACAGGAAGGAGAGAGTCAAGAAAACTACACAGATACAAAAACTCAGAAACAGCAGCCTGGGCCTATACACACTTCAGCAGCTGTGGAGGGCATCACCAGCGTTTTCATAGGAAGCAACAATGATGCTCCTGAAAATAGCATTAAGCCAAGTAAAACAGATTAAACTTTCATTCCACGTGTTTAAAAAAAAGGACAGATAAGCACATAATGGACTTTGTAAAGATTCCTATCAAAAGTGATTTAGCACACAAATTTAACATTTTACATGTCTAAACTTTAATTAACTGCCGAAGTCTATTAACAAGTTTCTGCTAGAGGAAAGTCTCCAATTTCAAGCCATTTTTTCTACTAAACTCCAAAAAAGATGTATTTCAAACAAATTAACTGTGAAATATTTCAGTGTCATGAGCTAAACAGCATCAGTTCCTTAACAGGTAAAACAAGATAAAATTTTTGTCTCCATCATTGCTAAATGTTTTTATATCTACCAAGCAAACACAAACATGTGTCGTGGAGAGCTCTCTTCACTTGAATTTTCTCCCTACGTTTGGAAGGCAGTAAAAAGAGAAAAACATCTGTTCCTTCCTGCAGAGCTGACAACCCTCATTCTATGGTTTAAAAATAAAAGATGTTTATGGAAGCGTATAGATATAATGATCACGTTAGATATAACATTTATTATAGATATAATGCCTCAAAGGCAGCTGGCTATTAATTGATCCAAAGACACGCGAAAAACAATTTTTTTAAGGCCAAAAAACAATTTTCCTAAGGACAATGCTAGTGCTCCCCAGGTCTCTGGTAATTTCCAAGACACCCATAAAATAATAGAAGATGGTAAAAAACCAAATGTGATGCCAGGTGACAAGAAAACAGGCAACAGCTGAGAAACAGGGGCCTGTGTCAACCTGGCTTCACTTTTCCACCATAGAACCGTGGTTTCCATGAGAGCTGCCTAGAGAAAATCTGGTTCTCTCTGACCAACGATCACCTTTTATCCAGCCCAAGGCAGGCCAGATGTTCAACAACTAAAGATATTCACCTTATTAAAAACAGAAACTGGAAAATCTCATACGTGAAGACCTTAAATTCTACAATATCTTTTAAAACCAGTTTTTCCTCTCTATGTTGTCTTACGGTGTTGAACATCCAAAATGAGTAATGAGCAATGACAGTCCGACTTGCATGAGTAGACCCAGCTTCTATTTCTGGCTCTGCTCTGGATGAGTCAGTGTGACCTTGAGAAAGTTATTTCATCTCTTTATTTACCTCCATTTCCCCACCAGTTACAAGATTAGGTTAAATTTACCAATTTTGGGGGGGGGGAGTGAGTGGGTGAGATAAATACACAGAAACTGCTATACAAATATCTACTGGGCACTGACCAATGACATCCAACCCCCAAATACAAAGCAGGTGATGTCCATATTAAAACAGCCAGCTCTGTACTTTTCCTCTGCACTGTGAAAAATTCTGCCTGGAGAGGTCAACAAAACTCAGGTACTTCCTCAGGAGGATGCCTTTAAGAGTCCCAAATTTCCAATCTGGAAATAGAACTCCAGCAAATTAAAATGTAACGCAACTTCCAAGAATACGCTTTTTTTTCTTAAGGGAAATAAAACTTCAACTTTTTTAGGGTCCTATGATATTCAGGGTCCTATGATATCCTCCTATGAAGGCTTCTTCCCCATCCCCCACCCCCAAGGAGATAAGTCACTGCATCCTTGGTGCTCCCAGAGCACTGGACCACATCTCTCTGTGCTCCTGTGCAGTTATCAGTGAGCCTAGGAAAGGAAGAACCATGATTCAATGATCTTTGTATCTCCCACTATCTAGCATACTGTCTGGCAGAAGGTACAATATATGTATATATATATATACACATATATTTGTTAAATGAATGAAATGAATGTATTTTCCAAAGTCTAATGCTACTAGGAAGAGCAACCAATAATATTAATGAATGATAGTCTTAATTATGTTGACATTTTCATTTTTAGAAAAATAATATACAAATGAATGTTACCTAGATAAAGACGAAATATATGACTTCTCACCAACCTTAAATACACAAAAATTAACTCAAGAACTTTCCAATCCTCCTCCTTCAAAAATGGTCTTTGGGGGGTTTTTATGTTTATTTCTTGTTTTTTTACAATTTATCTAATGGGTATTGGATTATAAACAGTCCTTTTAACTTAACCTACACAATAAAGGAAAGTGGGGAAAAGAAGTAAAAAGGAGTGCAAGTATGTAAAAATAGAAGAGACTACTCTTAAGTATATGAATCTTTAAAATAAAAAACACCCCACAGCTGAAAATAAAAACGTGGTCAGTACAGGTCAACACCACACCATTAACAGCATTTGGCTATAACTAAGAAGCAGCTCACTGAGAAATGTCATCTAAGTAATGATTTATAGATAACCCATTTGTTCAAGTAATAGGACACGAGATGTTCAGCTCTTCAAGTTACATTTGAAATTGTTACTCCTTCAAACATTTATCACAAACCTACCAGCACCTGCATAAATGTTCATTTTTTCCTACTCCTTCAACTCTTACACTCAATATTTCATAATTAAGAGCAGGGGTTAGTAACCACGAACCTAACTGACCCTCTACCAGTGAGCCCTTAAGGTAAGGCCTTGGGACCTATAAGCCTGTAAGAAAGGATAAACTCATTACACGACTTGACATTTATCACAGTAAACTGACCCCTTAGCTGGGCTTTATGGTGCCTATCAGAGTCTATAACGAACGCTGAGGAGAGGTACCAGCTGGAGCACGTGTGCTTTTGGCCTCTCACCTTCACTATCTCCAAGCTATACCTTCTTTGATTGGACCATGAAACCAAATAAAAATTACCCCTAGTATTCTATTTCATTATTTATTAATTTACAAACAGCATGTATCAGATTTGGTTGCATCAGCAAACAGGAGTGACCACTTAACTTCACAAAGCAGTCTACCCAGATGGCTGTAAGACAGAAACTATGTATTACATACATACACATGCGCATATGTACGAGCAGTCGGGGATCACCCTGGGATAGTATTAGAATGATGTTTCTCCAACATTCACCATTGTCAAAAGACCATGAACAATTTTGTTCTCTTTAGTGCTGTGAGGATGAGGAAGAAAAAGAAGGATGGCTTAGCTAACGATGCAAAACCGAGTTTATCTGCCTGGCGTGACCCTGGACATACTAACAGTAGATATTTCGGAGAAATGGACAGAGCAGCCCTTTCTTGAGATGACAGACACGACTAGGTTGTTCCCTTTAAGATCTTATAAGAAAACAGAAATTTCACCAAGCAAGTGAGTGGGACGTAAAAGGATTCCCTAAGAGGAAGGGACATGCCACATGCGGTTCCTGGCTTCTCAGAGCCGGGGAGGGCGGGTGGCAGGGGAAGGCCCTGATTGGCAGGCGACTGGCGACCTGGAGGCCCGGCGGCAGGGCGCGCTCACCTGTGAACACGTTCTGGAAGCCATCGGCAGCCGCCGGCGCCCCAGACGCCTTGGCTCGGGCGGGGGGCGCCCCTCCGCCGCCCTCCAGCAGGTGCGCGGAGCCCCCCGCCCGGGGCGCGCGCGCGCCCAGCTCCTCGGTCCAGTCGGCCGAGCGGCTCAGGCCACCCGCGAGGCCGCCGTCCGCCCGCTGCTTCTTGGCCGGGGCGGCCGCGGAGGCGAGGGCGGCTCGGGGCCCCCGGCTCAGGGAGGGCTCCAGCCGCCGCTTGATCCTGGGGCTCTGGCTGGGGGACTGATTCGGGGAGTGGTTGGGCGAGCTGAGCTGCCGGGTGGTGGTCTTGATGTAGCAGGGGGTGATGAGCGGGTAGGGCTTGAAGCAGCGCGGGCTGGGCGCGGGGCTGCCGGGCAGGGAGGTGGCCGCGGGGGCGCCGGGCCCTCGCGCCCCCTCCTCGGGCTCTGCGCCCAGCCTCGGCACGGCCTCTCCCCGGCCCAGGCCCCACTCCTCCCCCGGAGAGCCGCGGGGGGCATCCTCAAAAGCGTCCTCCTCGCCCTCCTCATCCGTGTCCCCAGCCCCGCGCACGGGCGCTGCGGCAGCGCCCTCCCCGGGTGCGGACTCCGGGAACGGGAAGGCGGTGGGCGAGGGCGAGTCTGCGGTCGCGGGCTGGGCCGCTGGCAGGCCGGGCGCCTCCGAGGCCCCGTGGGCGCCGGGGGGCGGCGGCTGCTCGGGCAGCGGGGGCTCGGCGGCCAGGCTCTCGGGCAGGTCGGAGAGCGCGGACAGCGCCTGCTCTGTGTCCGGACTGCCTGGGGCCTCCCGGGCTGCGCCGCTCGGCCCCAGCAGGAACTGGTCCAGGCCCAGGAAGGCCCCAGGCTGGGGGGAGGCGGCGGCGGGGGGCGCTGCAGGCTCCTCCGAGCCCTGGAGCTGCAGCTGCTGCAGCTGCTGCTGCTGCTGCTGCAGGCGGATCGCCTGCTGGATGTCTGACAGCAAATCCTCCTGCTCCGTAGCCGAGTGAAAGCTATAGATGTCCGTGTCCGAGCCCGAACTGGTCCTTTGTCCATCCTGCGCCCCTGCCGCAGCTTCCAAATCCCCGGCGACCGCCCGGCCCCCGACCCCAGCCTCGGCTGGCCCAAGGCCACCTGGATGGGTCACCTCAAAAGGGTCGGCACACTCGGTATCCGACAGGCCCGTCTCGTCCGCCGAGAGGCTGAGGTCCGGGGTCTTGGTGACCAGGGAGTGAGCGCTGTCCAGCTCCCCGGTCTGCAGGGCCTGGGAGTCCAGCACATCCTCGCGCGAGCCGCCGGCGCCCTTCCCCTTGGACAGGTTCTTCCTGATCCGCAGGTTGGAAAACACCGAGGCTCTGGAGTCCGACTTGTTCTTCTTCTTGCCCGGGTCCCCGCCGCCGCCGCCGCCGCCGCCGCCGCCCCCTCCCCCCTTGCCGTGCTTGCCCAGCGCCTTCTTGCCCCCGCTCCCCTTCTTTGTGGCTTCCACATCTCTGGGCCCAACAGCATCCTCGGCGCCGGCGCCGCCTTCGTGCGAGGCATCACCTGCGCTCCTCTTCAGCTTCCCGTCCTGGTTCCCCATGTTGCACGCCCGCCGCTGCGCTGCCGCCGCGCCTCGGGCAGTCAGGCCATGCCGGCCCCCCTCGGCCCCCGGCCC